TTATCATAAATTGAATATTTGATAATAGAGTTTGAAAGTACGTGGAAGGTGACAGTGGTGGCTGAGGTATCTTTGATTGCAGATTTTGAGGGACAGAAGTTTTTTTTTACAATTCAGAGAGTTTTTGCCTTACTTTTTGATTATGAACTCATTTCATTCACTGCAATTTCTTCTATACCATCCTTTTTTGTGGGCGGATAACAAACGAAATTCTCCAGATGGCGTTGCTGTTTCATAATGATCAAATTGAGAGTACAATTCAATTATCGAACGATTTCAGCGTTTGTCTCGTATGTTTGGCTCTTCAAGAGGAGATCCGGATGCATCTGCTGAACCTGAAGGCATGGCTGCACATAGTGGTGGTTTGGGAGGTTTGATCGATAATGATGATCTGGAGTAGAGGAGAGGATTCCATTGAATGAAGATGATGCTGGATGCGAATTCAAAAAGCCTTTCATCAAAACGCAACACTCACTTCTTCTTGTTAATTAGTTGCGTTAAATAGATTCAATTGATGCAGATAATCGACTCATTCATATTGTTTGCTTCAAGTCATATGCTTTCGTAGACACCTCATTTTTTTGCTCTATTATTTCGACGACAATTGTTGATGTTAATTGATGAAGAGACGTTTCCATTTGAATATTTTCCAAGGATATTCTTGTCTTTAGTTCTGTTGTTATCTGTTATTCCTCAATTAATTATGTATTCCTGTAGGTTGATTAGCTCATTTTGCACGGTACATGTGTAATATAAAGTTTCAAGGGACGTTTCATTCCAGCTATGAAGTTCAACTTTCTTGAGTGAATTTATTAGGGAAGAATTGATTCATGGTTGTACTTAGCGAACTTCTGGTTTGTTTGAGTTATATTTGATCGGGATGTGCTGTTAGAAGGTGATTTGCTGATTATGTGAAATAATTATATCTTGTTCAGACGTGTTTAGTTAATCAGAGATATTGTTTCATCGATATCAGATATTTGTTGAAACAGTAATATAATATCTAAACCGGTTGTTATGCTCGTTGACTGATTTTTTTCATTATTCCATTATAAATGAGATTCCGTGAGTGATTGTCAAGCGGGCACTGTTGTCGTTGTACTGACGAAACGCTCAAAACGATCAAAAATTTTCCATGTCCGAAAGAGAGAGCTCTCTCATCTCACTTTTCTGTCTGCTTCCATTACAAACATCGCGTGTATCGCTCACCATATCCGTCTGATGGCTGAGAGAGTTTTTTTAATGGAGACGATGGAGAGACAGAGATAACGACAAATTGGAGGTAGTGTGAACACTATAGAATGCGACAGAATTATCAGTGATTACGTATACTCGGAAAGCATCATTCTATTGTTTCACGAATAAAATTTTGCCAGGCACCAGCATTATGTCCGATCTATGGTCGGCATATGGTGGTATCGAAAATTTGCCACTGAAATACCATCATCAAACAGTGAACCATTCCAAATATTTCGAGGATCCCGACATTGGGGTGTGCACAAATAGAATGGAAATCAGTGTGGCAAAAGTTTAAGATGAAGCACAGGTCAAGGTTCGGCACCGATCGTGGGCTGTTGGCGAGCTACGTGGAGCAGTTCGTTTGGAAAAGAGAATTTGGAGGGGAAGACTGCTTATACAACTTGTGGAAGCAAATCGCAGAAATGTACCCCATATAAAATGGAGCAAGAACAGCGGACCATAAACCCAACGTTCACCTTAATGCATTCACGAGAAGAAATAATGCAGCCGAGTAGACGCGTAATGAAAAGGTAGTACAACGCAAATGAGAGGGCGAGACGAAATACAACAAAAGAGAGATGCGATGTAATCAATGGACGCAGACAGTGGTCTTCATATGAGAGATCTTGGACTTGGAAAAATTTTTGCTCACTGTTAACGTTCGTCAGCACAATGACAACAGTGCCGTCAAGCGCTGGTTAAACCATATTCTTTCTGTGAATCCAATTGTAAGAAGCAGATCACGTCATGAGGACAAATGCTTCGGCTAAATAACATCCGAATTTTTTCAAATAATTGCAAGTGTCTTATTGATTCGTTGAATTACCAGCCTAGAAGATTGGATTAATATTAGCCTATAGGTGCTTTCTGAAGGCGAGTTGTGAAAGGATCTAAAGAAAGAAGCCCTTAAGTTCGTTTAGAGGTAAAAATGTGCTCAAGGTCGTAGGTTCTCGATGGAGTAATGTACTACGAGAAACGAGGAATTAAATGAATGTATGCTTGTGCGTTTGTGAATAATTTTAAATATTGCGAAATTTTATAATCTAATTCAGAGGAGTATAATCACTACTTCATGATAGGATTTCGATTTGATGCAAAAATATTTAGTCCTCTTGTTTTAGTCGTATACCTANTTGTTTGGATGATGATCACTTTTAACAGTCATTATTGCATTTTTATTATGATTATGTCTATAGTGGTTACTTGTTACTTGGACGTCGAGAGGTTTTTTCAATCGCTGCGAGCGACCGGCGGAATGTTTATATTACTGGAGTTATGATTATTTGTTGGATTGATATTTGGTTACGATTAATTATGCAAAATATTCATGGCAACTAGTTAATTACTCGGTTGTGTTCAGTTGGCCTGCTCGCCTAGCCAGCGGGGTGGCGTAAAACAATGTGCACGGAAACGTGAGCATTGTAGCCAGCAACGTTACAAACGTTTCATGGCCTGGCCAATCCAGGTATGTCTATAGTACAGTTCGGTTCCGATAATAGCACATGGCAAAACTGATATTATCAAATTATGTGACTGGTGAACAGAGCTGAGCGTACACCTAACCTGGAGAGGTCAATATTCGAATTTGTTGTTCGAATGAAAGCCTCAGTGAATCCTTTTTGATGACGATAACATTGTTTCATGCCTCTTCCATCTTCAAGTGACTTTTTTATGCTACGAGTCCTAATGCCATCAGGGTTCTTACATTAGGTAATTTTAAGGGATGAGAGTGCTTAGCCACTTAACTGAATGACCAGTCATACCCACTGTTTGAATTGTCTAAGGCTATTTGAATTGGTTCACTAATCTCATTTAGGAGAGAAGTTACTCAAAATTGGATTTCCAATTTTTACACGTGGTTGAAAATCTAGTTCACTGAGAATAGCACCGTATTCATAGAGCATCATAAAAGTTTACTTCATTATCAAAGAAAGGTTATACATAAACACATACAAGCCATTATCAACAGAAAACAGTTTTAATGTCCTCCAAAGGTCACCATGTATCAGCACATTGATCATGTTCGTTTTTATGTTTCATCTGAAATTCATTGATCTAAGTTTGCATCCAAATCAATTATCCTATATCGAGAGGGAAGTGGGAAAATTTCGATAAGTGAACGTGCCATATCCGATTATTGGACAGCTGAACTGAGAAATCAGTTAAGTGCGCTTTGCTGAACCATACTCATACAAACAACAAGATTTACTCGCATTTAGAGGCTCAACTTATTCTGACGGTAGAAAAAAATATAACGGACGATTATCACACCTTGATCCATTGACTGATGGCTTTATGGAAGCGATATCGTCCAACAATTTTCTCGATCATTTGTAGCTTCTTGATTGTTTCCTCGGAGAGTACCGTATAACGCCTCGGCAATAATATGCTGTCAGCACATTCCATAGTTGAAGAAAGAGTTCGGCTAAAGTGATCGAATTAACCATGATTATTGAACGAGTATAATTGCACGAAATAATATCCGTGATAGTTTGCTTCTGATCTGTCACAAAATTATTGTCGATCCACAAAAGGGTACTTACTCAAGATAGGCGGAAGGGACGTGGTGACTTATTGCGATGCGCACGAGACAGACGTGTTTTATGAGAAAAATGGTCGCTATGCATTTGTACATCTCATTGTCATACCTATTGCAACCTATTTCTGGATCATTATTGTTACTCGGACATCGAGTGGTTGTTTTGTCAGTGGCTGTGAGCGATCGGCGAAATATTTATTTTATTAGAGTTATTTATTTATTAGAGTTAGAGTTATGATAATTTATTAGATTGATATTTGGCTACGATTAATTATGCAAAGTATTCACGGCAACTAATTGAATACTCGACTGTGTTCGGTCGGCCTGCTTGCCTAGCCACCGGAGTGGCGTAAATTGAGGCTAAAACAAGAATTGAGGTACTCGGAAACGCGAGCACTGTGGCCAGCAACGTTACAAACGTTTGATAGCCTGGCTAATCCAGAAAAAAAATTACAACCTAACGTGGCGCTCACTTTTGAGTAGTACGCAAATTATCAGCATGAATTCTCCCGACCAGTTCCGTCTATTTATCACGATGCGTCAGTAAAAAATTAGCATCCGCCAAACTGACCAAATAACGTTCGACCGAAATTCAAAATACCGAACATAGTCGAATTGCTACTAGACGAGCAAAAATTTGCATACCAAAGTTGTTCACTCATATGATAACTGAATATTTATAGCTATTGCCTGTGCAATATGTAAATTTAGCATTCTTATTTGAGAAACGATATCCTCATGTCAGTAAAAGTGAGATTTTCTCATCTAACAATAGAAAACTTCCTATGTAGTCACACATTTGTTGCTACTGGTGATAGCGTCAACTTTTAACCAAACGATTATATGAGTGTAGATCCCTGTCAGAAATCTGCTGTTAGTGCACATTTTTCTTTTAGCCCAGGACTTGCTGGAATCGAATATTGTATTGTTGCTGATCAGTTCCGGATGTATGGATCACCTAAAAACTCCCATAGTTTCATATTCATCGAACACCATTAAGATCAAACGTAGGTAAATAAAATATTATCGCCCAGCCATATAATACACCTGGATAATTGCTGTAAAATCTCTGAAATTGTGAGTTCTCTATCGGTAACGTATGCGTTTTTTTGAAAGCTGTGAAGTTCATTTGCCTGATGGTATCAAAAGATTATGTGACTTGTGAGCGTACACCTAGCGTGCAGAGGTCAATATTCATTCGAACTGAGCAGTTTTGAATTTGTACATGCCATTGCTCCCTTATGCTTCCTGTGATCCCTCGCACATAATATTCCAGCAGTTTATCGGTAATACTCGCCCTTGATCGGTGCAACATCAAACATCTATGAATAATGGATTTATTTCCAAGAATTTTTGAGTTTACGCGTATATTGATTAACATTTTTTAAAGATTTGTTCCTTGCGAATCAACAATGAGAATAAATACTCTGTGTGCATACAACGTATTCGAGAAAACAAATGAAACAAGTTGTATATACAGATTAAGTTTTAAAATGAATAAATGAATTAATTAATGAAATTCACTGATCTCAAGATCAGTGAATTCCAATATTCGTCCATTGTCGCATGCGAATTTAATTAAGTAAATTAAATAAATAAAATAATTGTGTTCTGTCGTTATGTGGACAATCAACTTGTACATAATAAAAAAGGATGAAAATTCTTCAAAGAATTGCAGCTGAACACACGAAAAGACAATATGATTAACCGTCACTTATCGGATTAAATGAACCATTTTCAATAACTGCAAATGATTGAACATTATAATTCAGAAGCGAATTACAATTGCAGTGAACAAATCGAAAAATCATTCAGTTATCGGAACGTATCGAATCACAAGAAAATAACTTTAATACGATAAATATAATGAAACACACTTCGCTGATTATAACCTTCATGAAAACGCCTAACTTTACGACAAAAATATAATGAAAATAAATACGCTTCACTTGCTGATTATTATCTATTTGTAAGTCCTCATTATGAACACCTTTGTTTGTCGGGCGTCAGGCAACACACTGCGTTTCTCATCTCTTCCCAATCAAACACCCTTTGCACCCACCGATTGCATCTGACTAATCAGTGCATAAATGAGCAAACAGATTCCGATGAATTGCTTCAATTAAAAATTTAATTTTCGATACCATACCTTTATGCATGGATCTTTTGATTTCATACCTTTCGTCCCTATTTTTTTGTTCGGGACGAGGCCAAGATTATTATGAACGAGTTTCTGCACTAAGTACACTTACTTACACATTGAACAAAATGAAACGGTTACACATCGAGTACTTGATATAAACAAGTCTGCGAAAAAATTATCACAGTAGTGAATTGATCACCGAAGATCATTGCATTCGAGTCAGGCTGTATATAATTACCTCAAACATCTTGAAGACAATATACCCGACAAGTTAAGTGGAAGACAGCTATTGCTAATGGAGAAAGAGGATACACAGATTATGATCGTGCAATCAAAAAGACAGCAGTTCGTGAAGTTACAATGTCGTTGAAACAAATTGATAAGATTGATTGAAAATGATCGAAATGATAATTTAGATGCGAGATGAAATTGTGATTCAGCAATGGAAATGTTGAAGAGATGAATGCGGAGTAGTGGAATAAAACGATCATACATACAATAATTGCGCATCAGAAACACTTCACAGTTATCAGCAAAATACGTTTTCCGTGAGGAGTACTCATTTAGAACCATTGATGGAGCATTTCTGATAAACGGTGCCGTTCGCTTATTGCTAATGCTCATATTTTGTTCAAATGATCATAAGCGTCCATCACTGGTTACAACACTGATTCACTCTGAGAACAAATGAACAACGTATACACAACACAAGAATTTACTTCCAGCTAACTGAAAGTAAAGTTTTCATGAGTGCTGATAATTACAAGGCGTTAATTACAATCGACCAATATCATAAGCAAATAACGTTTATACTTATGAAAGAAAGATATCGCAGAATCTCGATTAGAAACAAGACAAGTATGAGCTGCTCCATCGAAATGTGTGCATCCAATACGGATCTGACAAAGCTGATTGCGTTCGGTTATTGTTCCAAGTGAACGAATCTTTTAGATCGGAACTATATTCAGAATGAGAGTTTATAAACTTAATTCCATAAAATTTGTGTTAATAGTATTCGTAAGAAGAAATTTTGATTGAACTGCTGCGATAACGAACAAACAACATAGAAAAAATATAAGTGAAGAGCGGACCCGTTTAATATTTATATATGTATATGCATAAATAGAATTAACAATTCACCAAGCGATCCGCTAGAATTCCACTCTTGCTGTCTCCTTATATGTCGAGCGTAAATGTACGGCTCTTACGAATACAGCTATTGCCCAAAACGCAATCATACCAGCTGCAATTAAATAAATTTCTTGTTGCTTTACCTCTGATCAATTTCTTATTGATGTGTCGTTCGATGAGGCGACGTATCTCATTCCATACGAAATATCAGTGGAAATGATAGTTATTTTTAATAAGAGATTTTACGCACTCAGAAATTAATAATTTACAATAGTGAAGTATGATAAGGTTGCATTCGATAATTCCAGCAGAAATGTTTGATGTTTGAATGATGCAATTGCTTTAGAATAAGGTCGTTTTTTTGAAGTTATATATATTAGTAGTACGCTTTGTTACTATGAACTTTCGAAAAGTATTCCTACAATGGTCTTTATACAACAGTTAAAACGTCTAAAAGAACGATAATTCAGATTTTGCAAGGTGCTTAGGTTGAAATGAATTGAACGAGTAACAAACGAACCGGCAACATAAAAATAAACTTGTGATGTGCTAACAGCCATCAAAATAACAATGAAAAAGCTGATGCTGATGAGAAGGAGGAACATCGCCAAAAACAAATGTGACAGTGCTTGGAAACGAATCTGAAAAATCTATCATTATCAATCACCATTCATTTGCAAATGATAACATGATAGAATGCTTTAAACATGTACTTTAACAATTCTATCACTTCGTGAGATATAATCATCAGAACGAAGCAAACGTACAGAATGATTTTAAAATTTTGATTTAAAACGTTATCAGAATTATGGAGAAACGTAACCTTGAGTGATCACATCACAAAAAAAAACAATATTCACACGTGAAACTTACATAATTCCCGATTGATACTGTGGAATGGCAGAACGGGCATTCAACCAGACCCGTCGGTCTGTGGTACTGAAAAGTATTTGCATATATAGCTAAAACTAATGCCGAAAAATTGAGAATTATTTACATAACGGCAAATGGTTAGCAATAGAAAACTTTCAGTTTCGGTCATAAGAAGCGATAAATGTACAGCTGTTGAATGCAAAAAGAAGAATGCATCTCTTTCAGCTCTATTATCCTATTGTCAATCACTGAAAATGACCGTATGCGTTGAAGAACACTTAAACGCACCAAAAAACTTCCATCACAATGAGGACAGGCATACGTCGGCCCGGGCACATTCTTTGGATATTCGATCTTCTCCAGTCTTGGACCTTAAGTAGTAAATGTGATTGATGGCTTGTAATATTTAACGAGTCATGAGCTCATCAAATTCAAAAAAAAATCAGCAAAGTAATAATTTAGCAAAATGAAAGTGCTAGTTGAAATTCCTAGGAGATTATCGAACTTCTAGAGCTAGTCCTACTCAACTGGTTCAACGACTAACTCACTCAACAAACTCAGTCCTACCAATATTCATCTGTGAAATACAAAAACCACTAACCAGCAGGATATGCCGGAAAACATTCAAAAGGTGGCGGTGGGTCGGGAGGCCATCGTTTGTGATGTATATCAACAGGAGGTAAGCATGGATTTGTCAGCGAATACGGCGGTGGAGCTGTTTGCATGTGATCTGTAAACTGAGTTCATTATGACACTTGTTAGGAGCAGCAATTCTTATTGACAACGAAACGTTGTAAAGGAACGTTCTTCCATTCAACTCTACCCATTCATCATAAAATTTCTCATTCATTCACAACATTCTGGTTCGAAGCTCAAAGCACAAAAAGACATTTGAATTTTCTGAAGATGTAGTAATTTTTGTTAGTTTATATAATAAATCTGTGAGAAATCAACGCAGTATTTAGAACAGATGCCCTCAATATGATAATAAGATTATAAACATCGACAACGGCGAAAACGTTGAAAAAATATTTAATAATCATGACAAACAAGATAACGCTTCTGCGAGCAGTATTCTTAATAAGTATTCATAATAATGTTGATAATGAGGATGTTACTATGGTTTTGATCTATAAGATAAATAATGAACGCCAGAACTATGCAAATTGTCACCATATAAACCGAATTTGATTCAGTGACTTTCAGGCTACTGCTTATCATCAAGTATATGGGTGTATTGAGAGTGTAGCGATAGCTTTTAAATAGATATCAGATCAAAGAATTGCGATGTCAAAGACAGTTCAGCTGAAGACGGCGACTGAAAGGAGCCAAGGAAGTTTGATAAATGTGAGACAGTTGATGATGGAAGCAAACGAATGTTCTGATGCGCTTATCAGTTTATCGGTTGTAGAAGGACACAAATAGAATTTATTAAGGTGTCATGTGATTCCGAGTCAAATGATGGGCGATTTTGGAGCAATTACTTCGTATTTTTGATTGAGCTTGCAAACAATAACAATTGAGTTTTGCAATATTGACTAAAAAGTACGAAGAGAGTAGTTCAAAGAAATGCTGAAACGGTCCGAGCAACGTAAAACAACAATGAAATGGACGAACAAACATTCACGAATGAAATAATTTGCGCGCTTAGCGAATGTGGTGCAGGACTGTTTGGTGAATGATCGATTTGTTCAGATCCAAATTATGAACCTAAAAGACGACTGTCTCTGGTAGCCAGAATGCTCATTGAGCTATGAGAGCATGAAGCACTGAATCTCTCGCGTACGATTCGTTGTGAAACAATCCAACAGCCCAACTATCAGCCAGTTTATGTGGGAATTTTCAAGTTTTCGTCATCTTCTGAATGACTGCGCTTAGTAGATGCTTTCTCACCTTCTACTAATAGTAAGTGAGATGTTTCGTTCGAATTTGTACATCTTTATTACTCGCTTCAATGCGAATTCCCAACTACTTATTTCGACAACACGATAGTTTGACGGTGAAGAAATGCTGGATAANCCGTTACTGCGTATAGTAAGGAACTGTGAATGTTTGAAGATCAAAAATACACCGTTGAAACAATGCAATAACGGTAAAAATAAGAAAATTGCATGAGAAATACGTGAATGAACGAATGAAAAATGCATGTTGATAGTGCGATGGCGGTAAAGATATACGCACAACTCAGATCAACACACACACAAATCCATTAGGAAAACTTGTTTTCGTAGACGGTCGAAAACAAACATTTTTGACGTCATCGACGTTGGAGAACGGCGAATCGCAAGTTTCAATGATCGCTTTTTTTTCAGATTTTATTATTTTTTCAAATTCAAATTTTTCAAAACTTTCAAAATTAAAATTTCAAAAAATTTTTTTTCAAATCACAAATTTCAAAACTGATCGAACTTTTAACGATCATTTGCACGATATTCGTAAGCTGATTGCATCCATTCACTGATTGGCGATAGAAAATCAGCTAACGGATTTATGTATTTATCAGAGTTGGATATACTGGAACATATGATGCTAGCCTACCTTTTTGGGGGTTATTTACTTGTTGCGCACTGGAGTTGGTGTCGTGAGTGATGCTCTCATTAGTGCTCATACTTGCTCTTCAATGCAACCGGACTATCGGCCTTTTTCAGACATTCGACGGCTAATGCGAAACTGAAATTCAAAGCGTAAATGCCACCATACCTAGCCATAATAAAGCATCCAAATGAAACATTTGAAATGTTAACGCAGCGATTACGTCATGAATTTTACGACTGTGCATAAACACAATTTCTGATCGTTGATATGTTCACATATATGAAAGATAAATCATCAAGGGTCCATGCAATGGAGCACTGCAAAGAAACACTGACGAAATCATAAGTAAATACTAGTGATGTGAAGCCACTTCAAGAATATCATTGAAATCATGTGAGACTACTAAGGAGGGCCAATTTGATCTGTACCGCAACTGCTGATAAAATCTTTTTCAGGAACGGACCAATGAAAACTTACGAAAGTAATGCAATGTTCGAAAACCGTATTCGAAAACCAAAAAAAGCGACACTAAACCTAGTCATTTCATAATCAACATAAAATTCAGTTTTCATTGCACATATTTGTTTTTTTGTGCGTCGCTGACTTAAGATCATCAAGTCAGGAACGTAAGATCATCAACATAACATTCAGCACCGTATTAGGCATGTGATAAGATCAGTGCTGCAGATTGATAACACTAACGATAATATTGCTGAAATTAGTAACAATAGCAGTGATAACAATACACCAGTGGCAATAACGAAAATTATTCAGCTTATTATTCAGCTATTATTCAGCTAAAATTATTATTCAGCTAGCACAGCTAATTGTTGAAAATGAAAGCGATTTTATCATATCCTTATCCAGTCCGATGCCTTACGAAAGGCTCATTGCAATCTTATGGTCCTAAAGCGATATTTTAAGAAGTTTTACATCTAAATTCAAAGGAAAGGAAAACTAATCAAAGTATGAACATCAAACTGATGGCAACAACGAATTTCATCCCATTCATAGAGTTTAATCGTTTCATTGATCGGCTGATATGATCGGAGTTTTTTTGCAAATCGAAGCAATGAATTTTTTTGCAAAGATCACCTGATCACACAATTCAAAATAAGAATACCAACAATTCCAGTTCTAACTGCAATATGTTTTCGTTCGAAATATTCACCGCAAAGTCAATCGCCGAACACTATCACCAATTTTATCACGAAATCTTTCATACTACCGAGTGTTCATGTCACAGATTGCTTATGACTTAATTCACTGATAGCGCTGGAATTCGGTATTTGCTTACCCGAATCTACATATTCTTATGACTATACGCATTAGCCAATCAAAGCAATGGAATTCTTTTCTGCAGAATCACAGAAAAGATTGAAAGCAAAAATGGCGACGAGAGTAGATGAATGATATCAATTCGAGATGCAAACGATATCAACTCCATTACAGCGTTCATACTCGTTACACGACAGCGCCAACATAATATAGTTATGATGCTGAATCCAGATAAGAGAACGAAGACGAGAACTTAGTGTTGGTATTGGTGTAATATTTGCTGTCAAGATCAGAACATTAACGAAAGCATGAGAGTAGAAACAGAAATGTAAAGTGATAAAACCCAATCAACATTTTATCACTATGCTGATAAAACACGTATGATAACCAGCCATGTAATCAGCAATATCATTTGATATGGTGTAAAAAGTTCACACATTGCTAACTGGAAAGATAACAGCTCAACAGTGATGTATAAGCAAATTTAACGATGCAGCAATCGTTTACCAGTTTAGAAAATGGGATCGAAAGACCAAATAAATCGAATGCATTTGGATTCAATGAAACTCTGTTCAAAACGCATTTTGCAGACGCATTACCAATAAATTGCCCCTTCAAAGACATTTGACATTATAAAACCGGGTAACGGTACCAAAATCGTCACCAATTACGCTGAAAGTATCTCACTAATGGAAGCCGCCTCCAGAATATGAGCTAGCGTGCAGCTCGAATTAAGCTCATTGTTGCATGTTTGATAGTGATCAAAGGTTGCACCGCATCTCAGCTATATATTATCGAATTTGTATTAATGATAACTCAATCAGACGTCAGAAAATACACAGGCGAGTACGATAAAGAATGATGTTTTTTATTATCAACTGGATCAACAACCAATTCTGAATACACAAGAAGGCGATAGCGTTTGATGTCGCCTTCTTATACTCCCAGAATCGGTATTATGGTTGATATCATATGAATATGTAGCTCATTCGATATTCACCGTTCGAGACCATGCATCGAAAAAATCGAAGATAAATTTAGAATCCGATACAATCCATCGGATTCATCGAAGAGACTGTCACTAAAACCATCTTGTTTTATTCAATTAAAAAAAAGTTTTACAACAAAAAACGCTGCAAAAAGTATCGAGAAGCATTAGACTAATTTGCGGTAGTAATCTCGCTAATGCAACCACTTTAATTAGATTTTGCGACCGCATCGTCGTTGGCTGTAGTGCACAATATTTAAAGTACATCACGTTCCATAAAATCATTATTGATCAAGTTCATTGAACGCCAGCTGAGAACCATTCAAGCATACATGGATTCAAAAAGTTCGAATCTTCAGATATCTTTTATCTCTATATAATCGTAAACTCGTATCATCACTTTCAGAAAATGCTCAAATTTTCTGGATTAATCATTGGATAATTCCTATAAAAACCGCAGAGATCAAGTATAGTATCGATGATAAACGTCTCATTGTAGAATTAAGGGGATCAAAGCTTGCAAAATGTGGAGAACAACGAAGAAATCTGCACCAATTGTAGTGAATATACCTCAAATCCAATCAATTTCGCTGCAGTTGTGCTAAAGCCAACCGAAAGATTCGGTGTGATTAAGTGGTCTTTGTGCGATGCACCAATATTATCAATAATCACATCAGCAGTATCGTTACGTTCCTACTTACGACTGCTGGCAAAAACTTTGAACGAATAAAGATTGACACATCAAACAACAAAGCGAATCAAGATGATCTGCGGTGGTTGTGGTTGAACGAAAGAACAGATGTTGAGCACGTTACGCTGCGCTTTCTGCTAATTCACTTCGACGCAATCGAAAATTAATTTCCTAACTCTGTATTTGAGAGTGCTTACTGCACGAACACTCTCCATCAAAATCATCGCACAATT